AGGAAGGAAGGAAGGAAGGAAGGAAGGAAGGAAGGAAGGAAGGAAGGAAGGAAGGAAGGAAGGATGGAAGAAAAAAGAAAGAAAGAAAGGAAGGAAGGAAGGAAGGAAGGAAGGAAGAAAGAAAGAAAGAAAGAAAGAAAGAAAGAAAGAAAGAAAGAAAGAAAGAAAGAAAGAAAGAAGAATTAACAACATCAGGCTTCGATCCTCACAGCTTTGTGCAATGAACTCTCACAGTCTCCTTACTAGGTTTCTGCCTCTGCCAAACATAGATGCCTGCAAAAATGCTGAACTATAAGCATAGACTAAGAATTCATGACCTTAAGTTTTGATTCTTTCTTATTTCCAGGACCAGCACACTATGGGTGATCCTGCAAAGTTTGATTTCTAAATTGGGATGACCACTAACATGCATTGACCACAGGTAAACTGGATTTTTTTTTTTATGGAGATGCTTCCTGGGACTAGGATTCATTTTGCTTACTCCTTCCACAAATTGAAGTTTTAATAGGATGGAGTACTTTGCTACACTTACATTCTATAGCAAAAGTCTTCTCTATAATAGTGATAAACTCTTTGAAATTCCCTGCCTGTTTCAGCACTTGACTGCCATCTGATACTACCTTTTCATTTTCATTTATTTCCGTCCCACTTGTTTTATTTTCACTCTGGACCTGAATGAGTCATCACTAATAGCCATCCAACAGATTCAATATTCCATGTAAGGAATTAGCCCATTATCTTTTTATTCTTCTGCTGTGGATATTACTCTATGTAAATAAAATACTGATGGCTGGTGACCAGGCAGGAAGTATAGGCGGGACAAAGAGAGAGAAGAATTGGGGAAACAGGAAGAAGGGGGGAGAGACACTGCAGCCACCGCCAGGAGAAGAGCATGTAAAGATGCCAGTAAGCCACCAGCCACGTGGCAAGGTATAGATTTATGAAAATAGGTTAATTTAAGATAAAAGAACAGTTAGCAAGAAGCCTGCCATGGCCATACAGTTTATAAGTGATACAAGCATCTGAGTGATTATTTTATAAATGGATTGTGGGACTGCGGGGCTTGGGGAACCTGGAGAGAAGCCCTCCAGCAACATTCTTCTTTGCTAAATATCCAGGGCATAAGCAGAATAAGAAAGATTTTGGAGCCAAAATATCATATAAATGATGTTTAGCTTAATTTTTTTATGGAGTCTATCTACTTACAGCTGAAATCCTATGATCTTAATCTCCATTTTCTGCTCTTAATCTTAATATGCCCATCTTCCTGGTCCTAACAGAACAGCCAATTGAGTACCATGAACAACTTTCTATGGTTTTACCACCTACAGTTTTGATGTTATCCACATTATTTCAAAAGACAATATTCCCATGATCTGCCTAGCAATGAAATCACTTTTGTTGTTCCTTTTTTTTTGTTCTAAATTTCTTTTATCCTGCTGTGATTAAATCCTCTAACCAAAAACATCTCTGGCAATGAATGTGTTTATTTTACTAATTGTGTCAGATCACACTGCATCATTTTAGGAGCTTAAGACAGAAACTCAAGATAACAATTGAAAAAAATGGGCAAAGATTGTTTCTTGGGGTTCTCTCTGGCCTAGTCACTGTCTCATGCTTAAATAGCTCCCTTTCCTAGCCCAGGACACTTTCTTTAGTGATATTGCAAACCTACATGGTTGAGTACTTCCATTTTAGTAATCAATCAACGCAATCTCTCACAGACATAACAATTTCTGTCTATAACAAATTAAGTCACTGTGAACATAGTTGAGCAAGTGTCTTTGAGGTATAAGGGAGGGACACCTTTTAAGTATATGCCCAAGAGTGGTATAGCTGGGTGTTGAGGTAGATTGATTCCAAATTACCTTAAGATTGCCTTTTGATTTCCACAGTGGCTGTGCAGGTTGCACAGTGAATCCCCTTGTTCCAGTTGCTTGCCAGCAATAACTGTCACTTGTGTTAATGATCTTAACCATTCTGACAGGCATAAGATGAAATCTCAAAATAATTTTGATAAGCATTTCTTTGATGGTTAAGGATGCTGAACATTTCTTCAAGTGTTTCTCAGGTATTTTAGATTTCTCTATTGAGAATTCTCTTTAGAGGTGTACCCCATGATAATTGGATTGCTCAGTTTGTTATTTCTTGAGTTCTTTATTATATTGAGTAAGAAAACCTAGAAGCACATAGAAAAACATGGTATATACTCACTCATACGTGGGTATTAGTAGTTAAGTAAAGTACAATCACAGTGAATTACAGTAGAATGCATAGATGCAGAGAGGCTAAGTAATAAGAATGGCTCTAGGAAAGATGCATAGATCTTCCTGAGAAGAAGAAATAGAATAGATTTGGTGGGTGCATTGGAGGCAAGTGGGGATGGTAACAGGAGCGGGCAGATGCATAAGAAAGGGATAAGGGGAAAGACAGGGAGAGTTGACTAAAATAGGGGAGCTTTCAGCAGGGGATGTGGAATCAGTTCTGTGCAAACTTCCTGGAAAATATTAGGGTGACCTCAGTGAGGACTCCTTATAATAAATAATATAGAAGGTTAAAAAAAACACCTTTAGACCAAAGCTGTAGAGCCTGCATGGCACTGGATTAGGTTCTCTGCATAAGTGAGAGAGTTGTGCAGCTTTATCTGTTTAAGGGGCTACAGGGAGTTGGATCAGGGCCTATCCCTGGTGCATGAGCTGGGGTTTTGGAGCTTACTACCTATGTAGGATACCTTGCAAACCCTTGATAAATTGGGAAGAGACTTGGAACTGCCTCAACTGAATGTACCAAGCTTTAGTTACGCCAGGCAGTGGTGGCGCACGCCTTTAATCCCAGCACTTGGGAGGCAGAGCCAGGCAGATCGCTGTGAGTTCGAGGTCAGCCTGGGAGCTCCAGGAAAGGTGCAAAGCTACGCAGAGAAACCCTGTCTCAAAAATCCAAAAAAAAAAAAAAAAGTTTTAGTTACTTCTCATGGGAGGCCTTACATTTTTGGAGGAGGGAATGGGGGGTCAGAAGGGGAAAAGGCTAGGAATAACCAAGAACAACAGGATTCTATTAAAAATTAAACCACAAAACCTCACTGCTGACACTAACCCTCTGCACTACAGTTCTGTTCTTTGCCAATAATAGAACATGGATAGGGCTATAGGAGCTGTTCCACGAAAGTTGGAGAGATTTGCTTGAATCTTTCTGATGTTTTAACTTTGTAGAAAGTACTTCTGATTATTAAGAGGATCTCATTCTCTTATAATAAAAAAAAGGAGAATTGTTAGGATCAGTTGGACAGCATTTTGTTTCCTGTGACTGATGATTGGTGGTAACCCCACATCAGAGTGTGAAAATGAAATCTTTTCTAAACCAAATGCAAGATAACAGATTTCTACAGATTCAGTGTATACCTACAGCAACTTGTCTTACCCAACTTGCTTTATAAGTCACAAGCACTTCTGAAAGCACATTGTCACAATTTTTTGTATATGTTTGTGCATGAGAGAGAATGTCTTCCATATGTATACAGGTGACATACAAAATAAGAGGGTATATGATCCCTTCAATCTGGAATAGTAGACTTAGGAGCCTCCGAACTTGAGTGTAGGTATCTGAACTCAGGTCAACACCAAGAAGAATATGTGTTGAGCCACCTGCCAATATATAACACATTTTATCCAATAAACCAGAAGTCTTTTACAGATAAACAACAACAAGAACAACAAAACCTAAATAAATAAAGAAGTAACTTAATGATCCTTGGGAACATGATGCATCAAAATTAAGATGTTGCTTATGGTAAATCTGAAGCACAAAATGAACACAATCCAATAACAATGCCCAACAATTTATAGCAGGAAAGCTGATTACAAAGCTATATTCACAATAGAAACTTTCAGAATGATCACTTGAGTTATGAAAAATAGTAGAAATATTAATATAATATGAATTCTATACTAAAACAATACTACAACAATCAAGAATGTGATACAATATTTGTAAAATAATAAAGAGAATAGAGAGAAAAAGCCAAGAAGAAAGGAAGGAAAATATAGTCCACTATTAATCAAAAGACCAAAGGAAACTTAACCAAGAAAAGTTTGGCCTTGACCAATGTTACCCAGCTACTGATGATTCTATGTGTATAGAAAATAAATAAGCACAGACTTTACAACTACTACAAAATTTAATCAAAGTGATGCTCGAGCAATTGTTTCTGACTCTCAAGCCACTGATATTTCTTGTAAAGACAGAGTCCCATGCTCTAGAGATCTTGCTTCTAAAGGGGGTTATCTCTTGCTGCCTCCTTGTGGTTTCAGGTAAACCCAGCCCCAGAGATGCTCAACTCTAAAACAACATGGAAGAATAATTTCAAATCTGCTTTCTGTCACATGAATTATGGCACAAGATGTGGATTCTACCCTATCTACTTGACCAACACCATGCACACCAGAGAAACCTCTGCAGCTCAGAAACACCTCTTATCCCTTGGAACTAAACTTTATTAAATCACACCATTGCAGCTGGTGGTAGCAGAAAGTTAGAAGCATCCTAATCACTTATTGCTGAAAAACAATCCACACCATCATCTTTCAATCATTTTCTAAACCATTGGTAATAATTATAAGACAAACCTGAAAGTGGAATGCAATATTCAGAACTTCTAGTAGCCAGACCTTCAGTTTTCCAATCTGTCTTCCCACTGCACACCAAAAGCAGTGCCCATGTGTGTACACTGGACAGTGATATTACAAGCATTATAGCCTCCCATGCCAGGACTGCAGTTTCCCCTACCCATGAAATCCATTCACACTGGGGCTCAAAGTACAAGGATCACTGTCCAGGTCAGCACATGGACCAACAGAACCACAGTCTGGCTGATGGTCCATCCAAATACCAAAAATAATAACAGCTCAACGCACCTTCTCTGAATACTCTATACTCACCATGGCATAGCTTGTGTACTTCCTTACAACTCATTACAGGAGAAGCAAAGGATAATCTAGGAAAGAATCTGCAAATCACCTGCCACTCTTACTACTGATTGCAAAGCATCTCAAAGTCCCTCATTGACTAGGGCCATATAGCTAGGCCTCAGAATATTAACAGCTCACCTACTGGGTGAACAGAGATCAAGTGACTCAGAGAGCACATTTCTTACAGCTCTGTTCTTCCAGCCCACAGAAAGGGACCTAGTCTAGAGAGTTTCTCTATTTTTAAACATTCTTTTACTCACTTAGAGCATATCCTGTTCCTCATCCAAAGCACAGGTTCCTTTGTGTGCACAATCCATTAAACACTCAATGTGCAGTGCAGCCAACCCATTGCCTCATAGCTGGAAATTGTGTAGTCAAACAAAGGTCACATTTACACAGTAACTGTTGTTGTTTGGAAACTGAGGCCAAAGGGGAAAAAAACAGTCGATGAATTAGAAAACAATGAGTGGTCATGTTATGGCTGTGAGGCAGGCAAGAGAATGTGGACATGAGACAGTTATGATCTCCAAAAATTATTTTGAAAAGTTGAAACAGACTTTATGGCTATGTGCTCCACAGTCTACGGATTTGTATTAGACCACATGGAAGATTTCTCAAATCTTTTATCTCTGGGTCTACATCTAAAACCTGAAAACAGTCCTGTTAGCCATGGCCACAACATTATACCCACATATATGTTGATTGAACTACTGTAACAATAGCAATTTTTTAAGATAACATTTGTCTCTTATCCAGATTTGTTATTGTCCTTGACTGTGGACCCCAAGAAATAGTGAAATAGAACATTTATGGAACATCTAAATTTGATTACCTAATTCCACATTGGTATTCTCAAGTACTGTTGAAGCAAGAAATCTGTCAACCCCCATCCTGCCTCTCCCTTTCTGTACTGTGACTCCTATAGTTTCAAAGTTGGCCAATGAACTCAATTCTTGCACAGGTCCCTCTTCATTTATAAGTCTCAACTAAAAGCCAGCGAGATTGGAGGTCACTCATTAACTGGTATATTTTCCCTTCTTTCTGAATACTAAAGGCCCAGAATGGTAGAAGTTGCAGGACTTTTTTCCCAGCACTGGACAGCAGAGGCAGGATTAGGTGTTCAAATCAATTCTTACTTACATAGAATGTGGCAAGCCTAAACTAAAGGAGACATTGCTCTACACAGAAATCTGTAATCAACATCACTTGATTACCTAGAAACATTGGAGAACAGAAACAGAGATAAGAGCAGTGATGCATTTAAAGAAAGTGTTAAAATGATACCAATAAGTAATTTTTAAAATGATAAATTAATGTATTTGTAAGATAAACAAGCTTAGCTGTATTAATTTTAAAAAGGATAGGCCCTCCCCTAGTAGAGGGAATGTCATTTATATGAGAGTGATTGATCTTGCCCATATGAATACATTGGCTGCTGAGATCTATAACTTGACACATAGAGTTACAGTCAATGGCCTGTTCAAAAACATCTGAGCTGACATAACTGTGTCAAGAAGGATCAAACATATCTGCATAGGAATGTTGCCTAATTGCAAATTCAACATTCAATGGCTCAAGATGATCTTTCCAAACTTTACACCACACTATCTGGTGTGTGATTATTCATGTGACATGAATTAAAACATGCTGGAAAATTATAAAAATAACTCCTTCTACTACTGTCAGGTCCTTTTTCATAATAGTGACCCCAGTAGCTGATTACCTCCCCTGCTTCCCCCTGCAGTGTACATAATTCCTTGTATTTAATTGGAGTCAGAAGCAATGCTCACATGAGAAACTTATTCCTGTGATTGCATTGGATTATCAACTACGTGACTCAAATGGATCATTGTAAAACTCTGTGGTGGTACAGTCATTTAAGAATTTGAAGATGTAGTATAGAAGACAGCCCAGAGAGCAGAAGAATAGTAGCAAGGCCACCAGAGTGAGAATAAGAGAGAGTGTCTCAGAATCAGTTTTCTAACAGGATGGAAATAACAGCTGTCCTAGAATTAATATTCCTTTGCATGGAGAAACCACTTCACATGCTTAGGATATTATTAAAGAGAAATAATTTTAATTATAGTATGCATCCATATCCAGCAAATGTTCAAGAATACAGGCTAGACACATTTTACACTGAACATGTGCTGCCATCCTTGTGTCTTTTAGCTTCCTGCTCCAGGTTGCACTTTGAACAATTTAAATAGAGACAGGTAACTCGTAGGTCTAGCCATTTAGGCTGATGGGTTAGTTACACAGCTAAAATAGTCCCAGAATTTTTTTAATATACCAGTGACCCGAAAGAGCAGGTCATTCTTTAGTGACAGGTTACTGAGATTAAGCTGGCAGGTGATGAAAATGATAGAAAAAGTAGAATGTAGAATAGATAAAATCTGGGTTAGGGAGGTCTTGTCTAAGCTATATTTCATGCCATGGAAGCTTCTTAAGAGGAATAGCATGTTGCATACTACCTCCAGGGGGAAATGGAAGGGAATGGTAATATCTATAAGGTCAGCAGAAACTTTCATACAATGGCACAAACTCAGGAGGACGCAAATCAAACAATGCTGCAAAAGGGACCACAGAGCCTCTCAAGAACATTCCAGAGTAAGCCCTCCAGTGCTCTTGGGCCTGATAGATAATCATAGCTCCAAGTGAGATCTGAGGTACGCCACCACAAAGGTCCTGGTTCCAGACCACTACCAGCCCTCCAAAATATATTCCTGATTTTAGGGTAGCAGCTCTGTTTCTTTGTCAGAATATCAGGCCCTTAGTGAAAGCTCCCAAGGCCTAGCCCCCAGCCTGTTACTACTAGCTGTCCCAACAAAGTTCCTCCTCCTTGCCTGAGGGCCTACATGAAAGATTTGCTTGATCAGGCCAGTCCTTAACACAAAAGTGTTTTTCTTTTCAAATAATTGTCACGAGGTGTCATATTGCCCATCTGGCAAAACTAGGCTTTTCTCAAGAAGAAACCTGGAACTTTATAGTAAATCAGATCTTATAGTTGGATGTGACCCTGTAATGCCTCAATAAGCAGCTTGTTAGAATCTCATACTTTTACATAGCATTGGGCCTAGTGGCTGGTTGTATACCAGAGGTGGCTCCTTTGTGTTGATTTTGGAATCAAATGTCTGGACAATCCTGATGAACAAATGTGTATCCTACTGTCCTAATCTCTAAGAGGCCTAGCTAAAATATACTTATCTTTGGGGTGTTTAACAGGCAGACCTCCCTCTGCTAAATTTTATTTTGGAGAATTACTATCTCTTGAGCATTAGTAAAACTTTCAAATCACCAATTCTACTCATCAGCATCACACCTTAGTAGTGGAATGCTACCCAATGTGTGATATGCCTTTTACAACTCCTTACAAAATTAACCATAAATGGACTTTACATGTAAAAATTAAAAGCAAAATACTGAACATCTATGGGGTACTAGAAGGTACTCTCCAAGTCTGGCAATCTGCTTTCCATGTGTGGACCAAAAGCTTGTTAAAGTTAAAAGATGTTCTTTTTGTTTGTTTGTTTTTTAGGTTTTTTTTTTTTTTTTTTTTGAGACAAAATTTCAAGCTAGAAACCAGCTCCTAAGCCTTATTTCTCCTTTTTAATCCTACATGGAATTATAGAGTATAAACAATATCTTTTCCAATTGAATGCTGCTGGCAGCCATGTCAATTCACCCTCAGATCATGTCCGTCTCCTCCTTCTCTCTAACTGCTGCAGACTCCACACAGCTTTGAGGCCTGAACCCCCTCCCCAAGCAGGTCTCCAGGAAAATATACAATTGAGTGCTTGTTATCTTATATTGTTGCAGCTCTTGAAGGCAGATGATTTGGAAATGCACAGGGTTTTTAGTGTGTCTTATGCTCTTTTTGATTAAGCATTTTAACACTAACATGGTTGAAACATGTTGACAAAACAGCACTCATTGGGGGTACATCATCTGCTCTTGCACTTGTACTCAGGAGGCTGACACATAAGAGTCATGAGTTCAAATGTATTCCTGAATAATTATGGATTTCCCTGCCAGGCTGAATAAAAAACAACATCTCAAGGGAATATGTGAAATTATGAAAGCCAAAACCAGGAACAAACTCTCAAACACATAGCAGTTTGGAGCTATTATTAATAAAGCTGATATGATCATAGTTGAGCAAGTGACCTTGAGGAAGGATGGAGGAGCATCTTTTGGGTATATACCCAAGAGAGGTATAACTGTGCCTCTAGACATGTCAATTCTTAATTTTAGAAGGAACCACCATATTGATTTAAAGCTGTACAAGTTTCCACTCCCCCAGCAATAGAGGAAAGATCCCTTTCTTCCACATCCATGCCAGCATGTGATGTTTCTTGTGTTACTAATCTTAGCCATTATGAAAGGTGTAAAATAAATCTCACAGTACATTACATTATCACATCCTTGATGGCTAAGTGTGGAACATTCCTTTAAGTGTTTCTCACCATTTTAGATTCCTCTGTTGAGAATTCTGTGTTTAGATCTACACTTGATTTTTATTAGATTATTAGGTTTGTTCATGTCAAGTTTCCTGAGTATTTTTTTTTATCCTAGGTGAAACAACTGAGAACCATATAGACAAACATGATATGTACTCACTTATAAGTGGATATTACCTGATAAGTAAAGAATAATCACTGCCGGGAGGTGGTGGAACATGCCTTTAATCTCAGCACTCGGGAGGCAGAGGCAGGCAGACCTCTGTGAGTTC